GGGAATCTGAGTGCCCTTTCCTGTTAAACCATTCCCTCGCTCCCTTGAGCCTGTTTCCCGGTTCCTGGTGAGTRATTCCCCCGCTCCCCGTTCTTGCTGAGCCCATTCCCGATGAGCACATTCCCGTTTTCCCAGTCCCTGGCCCTGCACACCCCCAAAATCTCCCCCCACCCCACACTCGCTCACGCCTGGCGTTTCCACCACGTTTTATTACAAAATGGATTTTTGGGAGCGGTGCCGGGGCCGTTCCCGGCTCAGCGCGGGGCTGGGGGGGTTCAGCGCGTCCCGGTGCCGGTGCCGGTGCCGGGGCCCCGTTCCCGGTGCAGAGGCGGTGGCGGGGGCCCGTTCCCGGTGCGGAGGCGGTGGCGGGAGGGCGGTGCACCCCAGAACTGCGGGCGGTCCGGGTCCCCGGTTATCCCGGTTATCCCGGTTATCCCGGTTATCCCGGGCGGGGTCAGCGCCCCACGGCGTCGAGGATGCGGCGGTTGGAATCGGCGCGGGCGCGCTGGCTCTGGGCCCGGGCGAGCAGCAGGAGGTGCCGCAGGAGGTGGAAAGTGAGGTCGATGGAGAGCGGCGGATCGTCCCGCCGSCCTCGCCACGGCCCCGGTTCCAGCTCCAGCTCCAGCGGCGGCCAGAGCGGGGGATCCCGAGCGCCGGTGGCGGCGGCCAGAGCGGGGATGGAGCCGTCGGTGGCGGCGGGGCGGGCGGCGGCGGGCGGCGGGCGGGCGAGCAGCAGCAGGAGGGTGAGCAGCGCCCGCCGCATCCTCGCTCCCTCCGTTCCTGCGGGTTCAGGGGCTCAGAGCCGCGGCGGACACCGGGGCGGCTGCGGGAGCTCGACGGTACCGTGGCCCCGGCGGAGCGGGGACCGTCCCGGCCGCAGAGCCCCCTCCCCGCCCCGCAGCCCCGTTCCGTCCCCGGTGCTTCCCCCGGCCCCCGAGCCCCGTTCCGTACCCGGTGCGCTGTGCCCGTGCCCCGTTCCTGCCTCTGCCGGCGGCGCCGTGGCCGATCCGTCCCGCGGGAGCTGAGCCGGTGGCGCGGTCCGGGGTTATATCGGTCCCGGAGCCCGGGCTGACGTCAGCGGCGGACACGCACCGGGAGCGGGGGCGGGGGACACCGGGACACCGGGAGCGGTACCGGCGGCGGGCGAGGCTGCGGGACAGCGGGAAGGAGCGACACAGCCTGCTGTCCCCCGCCTCGGGCGGCACCGCTCCGGTTCTTTTCTCACACCCACCGAAGAGTCAGAACGGGCTCGGGGCCGGTGCCTTGGGCCGGGCTGACTCTGCCTCCCCGGTGCTCCGGGCCCCCGCTCCTCCGCCCGGCTCCCCGGGATCGTTCTCCGCCGCTGTCCGCGGTGCTGAACGGCGGG